TGGTGCTCGGCGTGGTCCCCCTATAATCATGCAAATGATATCTCTCACCTAGGTAAGGTGCCAAGAATCCAGTCATATTTGTATATCCAGCATCCACAACATAGTAATATCTTGTTAATTAATTCGTTATTTGAATGTGATAATAATTGAGGTCTGCATCACTCTTCTTCTTCTTCTTCTTCTTCTTCCCAGTAATTTTTAGATATATAAGAAACCTAATTTACAGAATACAACAATTATTTTTAGAACAGCCATGAACAAAGAACCATAGATCTAAAGGCACAAAATACCCAAAGCTAGAAAAAGAGGAAAAATATAGAAAATTACCAAGATCTTCCGAGAGCAGCTGTGGTCTGTGGTGATGGAGCAATCAGATAGAACAAAAAGCCTTAGTGGTGAAGAGGGGAAGAGAGACTATTGCCAAAGAGAGGAGTGAGCCAAGCCAGAGAGAAGAGTGGTCAAGAAAGGGGGAAAGAAGAGAAGGGTGAGTGAGGAGGAGAGAAGAACGATTCTGATAGGGAGAGAAAATTGAGAGAGAGATTGAGCAGAAGTCTGTTTTGAGCGTTTGTTTTCTGGGAGAACAAAAACATCTTTTTTCTGTTTTGTAGAAGTAAACGTGAAGTCCAACTCATTTTATGAAAACGTTTTTGATGTTTTCTATTTTTATTTACCGAACATGTTTTTGCTCTGTTTCTGTTTTTTAAAAACAAGAACGGACCTTTAAAACATAAACGAACAGGCCCTTATTTTTTCATTTTCCTTTTATCCACTTACACTCCTTTTTTTTTTTCTTTTTTTCAAAAATACTTTTTACTATAACATACAAGGGAATGTAAGTAGACAAAAGAGGTGCGGGAACATACAATTTCCAACAAAAGAAAGTGTAAGAAGAAAAAAGTGGAGTGGGAAAATTAGCTTCATTAATATATTGGGCACAAAAGTTGCCAATACAAACTTGTGAATAATATAAGTTAACATTAAAATAAAGAGAAAATTTTAGCAATGCCCCCATGACTACATAGACCTTATTTCAACTTTGAAATTGGTTCTGAGTCCCTCTAATCTTTGGAAGCGTGTCAATGTCTCCACTTTTGTTAAGTTAGTTAATTCCTTTGTCAAATTCAGGAGCATTTCTATTCATTCAAGTTAGGATTTAGTTTGTGAGTCCTAAGGCAAAACTCTATAGAGGCGAGGAGGATGAAGCATGTCAATGTCTCCACTTTTGAGACAATGCTTCTTCAGGTAGTCGTGGTAGAGTTCATTTAGGCTCCTTGGTGGCTTTAGGGTTTCGGTTATGTTAGGTTTGTGGGCTTTGTTTGGAATTATTCTTAATTGTGGTCATGTAGGCTAGTAGTTTTAGTGTGGCTTAAAAGATTAGAAGAGATCAAAACCAAATTGAACTCTCAGAAAGCAGAATGGAACAAAGTCATTGCTTAAAAGAACCATAAAATAAAATATTTGCAAAGGCGATGTCCTCAAAAAATTTGAGCGGATAAGGGAAATTGTCGCTCTTTGTCTTTTTTGTGTAGTTGTTACGGAAACTGAGAAACTTTGCAATGAGTAAAGAAGACTAAGCTCCAAAATTTGTCTTTGACGAAAAAAACAAAAACAAAATAAAAAATTCACTCAGCTCCAAATATACATGTCGGCTATAGGATATCCGCCTCGTTGGCTCCATCCGGATTGAAAAAGTTATTGGTTATAAGGACCAATATAAATACAAATAACCACATAAAGTTAGTATAAATACAGAAACATAGTAACCATAAAGGGTTAATCCAAATAATACGGAGGAGTTCACCGACAACGGCAAACCCACAAGGTGTGTACATCCATTTACAGGCACATATGGCCTAAGAAATTTTGGCCAAAAACCTTTAAAAAATTCGGATATATACTTTAGCGCACCAAATTATAACTGTAAATACAACCTTTTAACACTCACAAGTAGAAAAATATAAGAGTAGACTACAAACACACAACAAATTGAATAAGTTGATTTTTACAAAACCTAAAAAACAAAAACAAAAACTGCAATACAAATTACGTAAATAAGAGCTGATTTGCTACCACGTCATCACCAAGATAGTCAAGCAAGCACCAAACTTAGCCAAAATAGAAGGCCTTGAGTGGATGGGCAGGGAGCAGAGGTGGGGGAGGGAAGGAGAGGAGAGGGATGGAGGCCGCGGGACCCCAAGGAGGCAGCTGAAACTTTTCTCTATTAGGGTTTTTCTTTTTGGCTCTTTATTTGAAACTTGAAATTCAAAATAAAAGAATTATATGAATTTTAAAAAAAAATGTATAAAATAATTATTTCAGTCAATTGAGTCCAACAGGCTGAAGGCCCAGTATTTGATTATCCAAAGTCCACTCCATAGGCCATACTCTAATTATTAAGTAAATGCTCCTGTCTCTTATAACTTTTTTTATATGTAATTCAAAAATAAAATTAATAAGAGCAATAGATTTGTAAATTGTAACTCAAATGGTTAAAAGCATTTTTCCTTACACTCGAGGTCATAGGTTCAATTCTCCCTCCTTAATATTACTTGTATAAAAAATAAATTTTTTAATTAATTTATAATATATATTTAAATAATCATTTTGTTTTAAGAAAAAGTTCAGGTTTAGAATTTCTTATATTTTCTTCATTTTATTTATATCAAGAAACCTCGTTTCTGATAAACATTTGTTATGGTTAATCAAAAGTCAAAAAGACTTATAATATTTTTTTTGAAAAAGGAAATTATGATTTCTTTTTAACCAAAGATTTTTACTTATTTATCAACTTCATTATCGTACCAATAAAAAATAAAAAGAGTAAAAACACTTTTCACCATTCAAACTCTCTTTAGAGAATATTTCATAAGCAAATTTATATATATTCCCCTTCTATTGAGGGATCCCTCAATTAATTTTATTTGAGGGTCACCCTTTAGGGTTCCTTAAGAAATTTTTTTCAACAATTCAAACCAAATCCACATTCATACATCATCCTTGAAAAGCATTAGATAAATTGGAAACCATTTTGACATCTATTTGTGTTCTACAAAATCAATGAATACTGTGCTTTAAGAAAGTACTAAAATTTCAATAATTCAATTGAGTGGTCAAATGATATCGGATTCAAGTGATTTTTTGTAGAGATGATCTTTGAATGAATATCTACAAAATAGATGGTTTGAATTAGTGAAATACAATATAGAGTGGTCCCTACAAGGTTTTCCTTAAAATAAGCTTATTTGAGGGAATAATTTTATTTGATGGACACCTTTTAGGGTATCTTATGAATTTTTTTTAATCTTATTTGAGGGAATAATTTTATTTGAGGGACACCCTTTAGGGTACCTTATGATTTTTTTTTAACTGTCTAAACAGTCTATTTTTCAAGTCTTCATCTATAGATCATCCTTGAAAAAAAATTAAACAAATTGAAAATCATTAAAGCATCTAATTAAGACCAATAATATCAATCAACACAGTGCTTCAAGAAAGTACTTAAATTTCAATAATTTAATTGAATAGTCAAATGATATATGATTCAAGTATTCTTTTGTAGAGATGATCTTTGAATGAATATCTACACAAATAGACTATTTGGATTAGTGAAATATAATGCGGAGTGAGTTCTACAAAGGTGTCCCTCAAATAAGTATTTGAGGGATCTCTCAACCGAAGCTATATATATATATATATAAATTTATTTATTTATTTAACATTGGAAAAAAACAAAAAACAAAAAAAAGGTTCAAAAGACCAACATGGAGGAAATCAATGGAGAGTACAAATGGTAATAATACTTGGACGGATAATTCTTATATATCCAAGGTGTAGTGCAAGCAGAAGATGATCGTTTTCCTTCTCCTTCATTTCTCTCTCATGATTTTCTTCCACCATCTTCTTCGACCGACGAAATGAATTCATACTTACATTACTTGGAAAAGTTACCTCAAAAAGATATTTATTGTCTGATAAAGATTGCTAGCCAATGTAAAATCCATCCAAATTTCAAGACATGTATAGAAAATAATTCTACACATTGTGATAAAAAAAAAAACACATTGCATAAATATGTGATGCATAAACATATGGCCTATAGCTTAAGTTCATATCATCTATGATTCTTTGAGAGGATGGATCAGGATTCAGGTGGTATTCAGGTGGTATGATTTTTCGCTTCTTAATGAGACGATCACCTCGTTTATTGCTAGGAATAAATTAACGAGATGGTCGACATGCATCAAATATTGTTCAACGGGTGCTTTTGTTTTTTTTGTTTTTATTGATGTATGATACTTGTTTATTGGTTGCCAGCACATTGTGTTGACATAACTTTGTTTTGGATGGGCTCACCGCATAATAGCATGTTTATACATTCAAAACAAAGTTACATCACTACAATGTGCTCGCCACAATTAGGCATCAAACTGATCACAAATATATTCCGTCCTCACATTTATGTGAGTTGAACAACATGAAAACGTACGTTCTTCAAACAAGTGGAAACAACTATAACTAGACAAATGACTAGTTGGTAAATTTCATCATATCATTTGAATAAATAGGCGATCTACACATGTAGTGTGGTCATCAGACTAACCAAGTACCCTACCCCTCCCACCAAAAGCAGTCAGAAGAAACCCAACTCTTGATAGAGTAACCCCCACCCGCCGCCCCCTCCCCCACTAACCAGGACCTAGCACTCCCTGTATTCAAAGAACCTCACAATATGGCTTTTGTTAAAAATATAAAATTTAACTAATTCATAAATAAAAATGAAAATAAAAAACCACTCCTTTTGAGTATGGGTTTTCCTTAAGGAATTTAATGATGATCTTTTGTCATGATGGCACGTGAATTGACATTGCACTAGTTATAAATGACGTCAACAGTCTAATGGGGTACACACTTCTTGTTGGGATGATACCACTTTGCACCAATTGTTGGGGCCATTTCTTAAATTGTGCAAGAATGATTGATAACATCATACGTTGAATGGATGACAAAGATAATATTTTTATTTTTATTTTATACAAGTGATATTAGAGAGTGAAAAATCAATCCTAAGACTTCGGGTGCATGAATAAATGCTATTAAATTACTTGAGCTACAAGCCCCTTACACAATGACAATTTTTTATATGTGAATAAAATAAAAGCTGCATACCCCCAATAACTCTATGACAAGTTCTCCAAGCCAATGGGCTCTTGTTTGAGCTGCTTAACCAACATATCAAAGTTGGTGTAAGAAGATCCACCAGTTCTTGTAGCTGCTTCTGCCTTCTTCTTCCATTCCATAGCCTTTTCCCTCATCTTCTTCCCTTTCTCACCCTCCATCAACTCTCTCACAAGCCTCTCCACCTTCTCTCTCTTCACTTTTGTGTCAATCTCCATCCCAAACCCCCATTTATTACATAAATAAAAGCAGTTGGTTTGTTGTTCTGCAAAAAAAGGCCAACAAATTAATGGCACTCCTTCACAAATGCTTTCCAAAGTCGAATTCCAACCGCAATGTGTTAAAAAGCCTCCAATTGAAGGATGCTTAAGAAGTTCCTCTTGTGGACCCCATTCCAAAAACAAGCCTCTTTTCTTTGTCTCCTCCATGAAATCTTCATTTGATAAAATCTCTTCTCCACCATCTACAAGATTTGGCCTAATGACCCATAAAAATGGATATTTGCTATTGGCAAGTCCCCAAGCAAACTCAGCCAATTGTTCTTTAGTCATTATTACTAGGCTTCCATAGTTGACATACACCACTGATTGAGGCTCTCTCTTATCTAACCAGTCCAAGCATTTCTTATCTTCCTTCCACAAATTTGAATCAATTGAGTCCAAGTGATGTGTTGTGGACATGTTGTGTTGAAGGAGTGATAGTGGACCAATGGTGTAGAGCTGGGGGAACTTTGTTGTGATACATCCAAGAATTCTTTCTCCAATTCATCAAATGTGTTGAGGATCACACCTTGAGCTTTCATGGCAATCTCTATTGCTTGTATGTTGTAGTTGAACATTGTATCATTGCGATTCGTTGTTCGGAGGAAGGTGGGGAGATCTTTCAATCGAATTCCTTCCATTGCGGGTATCCAATCAATCACGGTATCAAGAAAGCCAGTACTTAAGTCGCTATCATCTGCACATAATTAAAGCATTCTGCACCTCTCATTTGTGCATTTCCAAAATTAAACCCAAAGTTGAAATTGCAAAATGATACATAAAATATGTGATTTTGTTATTCATAAAATGGAGATAAAGCGTAATGTTCTATTAACAGACTTATAGAACAATCAACATGAACAATGATTTAGTTTGGATGTTCATGTAGCTAAACATGTATAAGTATCTTATGTTGTCAGACAATTTGGTCAGACAATTTGAAAAACTCAAAGTATCTTATGTTGTCAGACTACTTGTTTGCTTGAATAAAAAAGTGTTCATGTTAGGAATCACCATATGCTAGTTATCTAGAAGGATACCTTTCAATGGAAAATAACCTCTTTCTACTAGATCTTCATAGTGTAGATACCCCAACATACCACAACCACTAGGTGTAAATAGACGCATCTCCGGGATGCCAAATTCTTGAGCAACTTGTAAGGTGAAGCCCATCGCTCCATCAGAAACAATACAACTTACAGCTGGCACATCCGACCACGACGAAGCCTTGTTGAGTTTTTTGATGAGGTCTCTGAATGAACGCTGGCCCTCAACCGGCATGGCTCTGCACAACTCCGGGAGGTCAAGTATCCCACGTTGGTTCGTCGGTGGCAAGCCATCAACCGCAATGTGTTAAAAAGCCTCCAATTGAAGGATGCTTAAGAAGTTCCTCTTGTGGACCCCATTCCAAAAACAAGCCTCTTTTCTTTGTCTCCTCCATGAAATCTTCATTTGATAAAATCTCTTCTCCACCATCTACAAGATTTGGCCTAATGACCCATAAAAATGGATATTTGCTATTGGCAAGTCCCCAAGCAAACTCAGCCAATTGTTCTTTAGTCATTATTACTAGGCTTCCATAGTTGACATACACCACTGATTGAGGCTCTCTCTTATCTAACCAGTCCAAGCATTTCTTGTCTTCCTTCCACAAATTTGAATCAATTGAGTCCAAGTGATGTGTTGTGGACATGTTGTGTTGAAGGAGTGATAGTGGACCAATGGTGTAGAGCTGGGGGAACTTTGTTGTGATCACATCCAAGAATTCTTTCTCCAATTCATCAAATGTGTTGAGGATCACACCTTGAGCTTTCATGGCAATCTCTATTGCTTGTATGTTGTAGTTGAACATTGTATCATCGCGATTCGTTGTTCGGAGGAAGGTGGGGAGATCTTTCAATCGAATTCCTTCCATTGCGGGTATCCAATCAATCACGGTATCAAGAAAGCCAGTACTTAAGTCGCTATCATCTGCACATAATTAAAGCATTCTGCACCTCTCATTTGTGCATTTCCAAAATCAAACCCAAAGTTGAAATTGCAAAATGATACATAAAATATGTGATTTTGTTATTCATAAAATGGAGATAAAGCGTAATGTTCTATTAACAGAATTATAGAACAATCAACATGAACAATGATTTAGTTTGGATGTTCATGTAGCTAAACATGTATAAGTATCTTATGTTGTCAGACAATTTGGTCAGACAATTTGAAAAACTCAAAGTATCTTATGTTGTCAGACTACTTGTTTGCTTGAATAAAAAAGTGTTCAGGTTAGGAATCACCATATGCTAGTTAGCTAGAAGGATACCTTTCAATGGAAAATAACCTCTTTCTACTAGATCTTCATAGTGTAGATAACCCAACATACCACAACCACTAGGTGTAAATAGAAGCATCTCCGGGATGCCAAATTCTTGAGCAACTCGTAAGGTGAAGCCCATCACTCCATCAGAAACAATACAACTTACAGCTGGCACATCCGACCACGACGAAGCCTTGTTGAGTTTTTTGATGAGGTCTCTGAATGAACGCTGGCCCTCAACCGGCATGGCTCTGCACAACTCCGGGAGGTCAAGTATCCCACGTTGGTTCGTCGGTGGCAAGCCATCGGATATAGTCTCGAACTGGAAATCCTCTGCGCCGTTAAGAGCATCTGAGCCTCTAGATTCAAGTAAGCGATTGTAGTTGAACTCTGTGTGGACGAAGGTTATATAGAATCCTTTGAAATGGAGAAGCTTTGCAAGTTTGATCATTGGGTTTATGTGGCCTTGAGCTGGAAGAGGGATACAAACTGCATGAGGCTTCATCATAGAGCTCATTTGTTCACGATTGATTTGGCAAATGATGCTCAAAAGTCTCAGTTCATGTTCAATAGATTATCAACATAGTGGGAATCTCATGATTCCACACACGACAAACACATTAGATGGAGAAAGAAAAAAAAGCACGCTTATAATAAAATAGACAAAGACAAGAGACTTATCTGAAGGCAAACTTTTCTTCTTATCGTATTCTTATAGTCGATTGGTGGAATCTGTATATCCAAACATAAAACTCATGGAGAGATTGTGGGACCAGAATTTATAGGATCATGCCACGTGTTTATAATATAGGATAAGATCAGACAGTCCTACGACTAGAGAAATGTTACAGAGGTGGTACACAAAGTGATCTATAAATGTGGTCTCCTTAGTATTATTATCCCCAACTTAATCACTTGGATCACACATATGATAGATTAGGCCAAATAGACCTATTCAATTGTGGAGTTTCATCTCAATAGGTATCCGTGCTATTATTAGTAAACCATGTATTTTTATATAAGTGTTGCTATATCCACCCATTTGTCATATTTCTTCACCCACCTAATCTTGTAAATTTTAAAGACCAATTTATCCTTTTATAAAATGACTTCTAAGGGCTTAAGGGAAAATCATTAAAACCAATTAAAAAACATAAGAAAATGATTATATAAAAAAACTAAAAAGATTATTAACAAATATCAAACCCCTTCCCTCACAACACGCATACCCCACCCTTCTCCCTCTTCCTCCACAGCACGGCAAACATAAAAACAAGCAAAAATATGAAATTCACTCTTAATACTATAATTAAAGGATATTTTAGGAATAATGATGGGTGGAAAGATAGGATTGTGTTTTTTTAAATTTACATAGTGAGTGGGAAGATTAGGTGGGTGGAAATAGTAGCACTATTTTATATTGTAAATTGTTGTGGTAATTATCTAAAGCTTAATTTGATTGATCACTCTATTATTTATCTTCACAATCATTTTCCTCCATTCCATTGCCCACCCCATCAGATGCAAACCATTCGCAAGAGTTTCTGAGAAAAAACAAGAAGCAAAAAAAATGGGTGAACGCAATATGATTGGTAAAAGAATGTTTCCTCCGGCAACAGAGCCGTTATTACAAAGTATGGAGGCTTATTACGAAGTATGGAGGATTCTAGTACCGAACCACAACTTCAATGTAGAGAAAATTGGCTTCTGCGTCAGAAAATGAAGATGACTGAAATCACAAAATTCAAAACCCAGCAAAAAGCCCCAGATTATCATCCCAAACTCGACCTTGTAACCTCGTATGCCAAGAAGCATGCTGCATTGGCTTGAACACTTCTAGCCATAGCTGGTCCAAAGCCGTCGTAAAGGCCTTAGATGAGGCCAGGATCTTTCTAAACGCATCAATTGAGCCCGAAAACTTGGGATTTTTGTAATTGTTAGGACCGAAAATGGACAAAAGCCCATTTAGGGATTTTTTATTAAAATCTAAAAATTGCACAAGGACTCAACCAGTATCGACACACCCCATGCGATTTTCTCAGTTTGCCTTTCTAAAAGAGACGTTGGATAATCTTTCAAACAAGTTTTTATTCGGGTAAAGGCGCGAAGTTTCAGACAAAGAACCAAATCGTGACTTCGACAAGGCCAAAGTTGAAATTGCAAAATAATATATACAAAATTTGATTTTGTTATTCATAAATAGAGATAAAGGGTAATGTTCTATTAATAGACTAATAAAATAATCAACATGAATAATAATTTAGTTTGGATGTTTATGTTGCTAAATATGCTTCAGATTTACAATATATGTACCTTATGATGTTAGACAATTTGACAGGAGAACATTTTCGAAAGATCAAACTCAAATTATAGTGCATGAAAAAGTAAGTTATATATAAATTTGTATTATATATATTCACTATTATAATCTTCGATAGCGTTTTTTCGTGCTATCTATAATAAATTGTGGTACAATGTCCGGAATCATTTAGCCATTTGCTTATTATTATAAAAATTGTTATTCTTTAAAACTATGTGTTCCATAAACAATGACAACCTATTTATTTTACGGATTTTTGTAGAAATGTCACAAGAACTTATACATCAGTTTTCACTTGTCACTTTAAAGAAAAATTTAAGATAAATATCATCTTAATTTTTCAAATCTCTCTCTCTCTCTCTCTCTCTCTCTCTCTCTCTCTGAGCATGTATAAAAAGTTTTATGGTGTTCATTGAGCATGAAAATGGAAAAAAATTTAATATGCAAATTGAAAAATACCAAAAAGAAAAAAGAAGAAGAAAAAGGTGGACTCAGTTTGAGTGGGTTGAGGGAATTTGTGTGTGGAGGAGGGTAGGTGTTTTATGGTAGATAGAGAAGGAGGAAGGGGTTGTGATGAGGGAAGAGGGAATGGATTTCAAGGTGGGCGAGGTTGGTTGGCACAGTCGGTGGCGCACATGGGATGGGGGAAAGTGATTTTTTTTTTTCTTTCCGATTTTAATTGTTTAAAAGATATATAAAAAAATTATAATGATTTTTTCATTTTAAAATACCCTTGAAAATGGAAAGACTAAGATACCCTTAAAATGGATGGAGAATTGAATGGTGTTAAAATCAGATGACAAATCATGGATTTTGAAAAATTAAGATGACATTTCTCTTAAATATTTTTTTAATGTGACAAATTGAAACTGAGGTATAAGTTTAAGTGACATTTCTACAAAAACCCCTTTATTTTATCACAATGGTAACTGCACAATATATGATTTGCGAGAATTTGAGGGAATGATTTTCAATCCAAAAAAGTGGTTCGCATTTACTTAGTAACTAATAATTAGCACTTGCGAAGTATATATATATAGGTTGTCTAGTGCAGCCAATTTTAATGTCATATAATTATAATTTAGCATATTTTTTTATATACCCCTCAAAAGTGTATTTGAGTCTCAGTTTACTCTTTTAAACTTATTTTGTCTCACTTTACCCCATTTTTCAAAAAAAATATTAATTTTAAATTCAAATTTCAAAATTTTAAATTTAAATCCGATTAAATATTAAAAACATAAATATATTAAAAATAATTTGAAACTTGAGATCCATAACAAATTTGAAAAGAAAATTAAGTTTTAAGAAAAAAGAAGTTTAAAACAAAAACAATGCATCCCTACCCGTCCCCTTTCCTCCCCATCCATCTCCCCCTTTGTTCCTGTCCTCCTCTTTTCTCTCTCTCCATGTGTTACCAGCGACCCAAACCTTAGCGCCCCCTCCTAGACCCACTCTCTGTCTCTCTCTCTCTCTCTACTAATGGTCCCTCTATTTTTTTCTCTCCAACTACACAAACCACCTCCACCCGCCACAACCCTCGCCTTGAGCCTTACCCATCTCCCAAACATTATAAATATATTAATGTTTTTAATATTTAATCTGATTTAAAATTTGAATTTTTAATTTTATATAATATTTTGTGAAAATTGGGATAAAGTAAGACAACTATGCATGAAAAATATGGTAAAGCGAGACAAAATGAGTTTCAAGGGGCAAAGTTAGACTCAAATACACTTTTAGGGGTATATAAACAAATATGCCTTATAATTTGTTCACATTTGAAAAACTATGATACAATAAACAAAACATTGGTTTAATTGCGAAATGTTGCAACGTTGTAGCAATGTCCCAAGCTATTGGCTAACTCTTGCAGGGGGGGCAGTCCATGACAGGGAATCATCGGTTAAGGACGGATCCAATGACAAGTCTTCTTCCTCATCTACGTCTGATTGAGGAAGTCTTATACTTTCTACCTCTCTCACCACTTCCTTCATTTTCGGTCGCTTCTCCGGCAACGGATCACAGCAACGCATTGCAATTTGTAGCAGTCTAAGCATCCCACTGCTGGCTGTTCTGCGCACTAGTGTTAATTCCATATCAAATATTTCAGCCGTCCATTCCTCCCTAACTGCTCGGTGAACCCAACTGCAGAGATTTATGCCATTCACACCTGGTGGGGCTGCGTAAGCTGAGATTTTTCCCGTCAAGAGCTCCAAAACAAGGCTTCCGTAGCTCCAAACGTCAGACTCCTTCGAAACTTTCTTGGTCTTTTGGTACTCAGGTGATTTGTACGACATCATACGCTGAGCTGCAATTGGAAGTGCAACGAGCGAAGTGAAGCCATAATCAGAAACAAGAACCCTATCGTCCTCGTCAAGAAGAACGTTTGACGACTTTAGGTTTCCATGAGGAGCAGTGCTGCTGCTGCTGCTTTGAGCTGACGACGTCGCTTTGATGTGGAGATACTCCAGTGCTTGGGCAACACCTCGAGCAACTGATAGCCTTGAGCTCCATCGAAATGGAATGCGATCCGGGCCTCTTTCTCCTGCATATAGATAAATTAATAACAATTCCTAAGTAAGGTCATATTCAAAACTACTCTAATGTACGGAGAGGGCAACTGGAGTGCAAGGAAGCGGGTGCACACATAGTCTTGGCCAACTGATCCAATCTACTTTTTGTAATTCGTAAATATTACTTAAGCAAAGTGTACATATATATCACATTAAGTGATAAATTAATTCCAACTCACTCAGATCAGAGGTACGTACCAAACATTCGGTTAAACAAATTTCCGTTGGGAACGTATTTATACAGCAGCAACTTTTCATCCTTGGACAAGTAGTAAGCAAGAAGAGGCAGCAAATTGGGGTGCTGCAGATTGGCAATCAGCTGCAACGGCTTTGTAAATTCCTCGTTAACTAGTGGCTTTAGATCCCTCAGCCGCTTAACAACCACGGCTTGCTTAACTTGCCTGCCCCCCGCCACGGCGTTATTGGTCGTGGTGATCTCTGCTTTATAGCTATTTCCAAAAATTCCCTTACCCAACCCTACGGCAGAGGCTTTTAGCAGATCTTCCATCTCAAATATTTGATAATCAGTCATTTGATTCCCAACAGACCCCTTACTATTATGTTGGGGACGAACGAACACCAGCTTACCTCTCTTAGTCTGATGTTCTTGTGCCGCAGCGTTGGGTCTCGTTATTGGATCCCGGTGACCTTCTGTCTTCGTTCTATCGTCGCCAACATCATTTTTTTCCTCCTGATCAATATTATTATTATTATTATTATTATTATTATTATTATTATTATTATTGATCATTGATGCTGATGATTTAGTTTTCTCAAATTCCTTCAACATCTTCTTCAGCTTATGCGATTTCTTGTAATATAGAATGAAAAGCAAAATTAGAACAACAAGACCAGCAACATCCAAAAGAAACAAGTACGAACTGAACTTATTCCTATTCTTGGGAGTTTTATCAACTGAATCAGCTGTGCCTGGGTTGTCATCAATGCTAGAAGAGTTGCAAGCAATGGGAGAAGGCTTGCCGCACAACCCTGGGTTGCCAGAATACGAATCGTAGCCAAATGCTTGGAGAGCTTGAGTCATCGGAATCGATCCATTGACATTGTTGTTTGAGACATTGAATATTTTTAAGGTGGACTGGTTCAACCAAGGAATTGGACCGCTGAATCCATTATCCTGAAGCTGCAATGACTCCAACGTCCCAAGGCTCAAAAGCGACGGTGAAATTTGCCCACGGAACATGTTGCCCGAAAGATCGATATGCGTCAGCTTCGGATTGAGGGAAAAATCCATCATGTTTCCCCACAGAGAGTTGTTCTTCAAGGTTAGGGCAGACAACTCAGCCAAGTTGGTGAAAGCGAAGATGTCGATGCTTCTGTTCAGTGGCATATTTTTCAACACAATTCCAGTCACGTGGCCAATGTCATTGAAACCAGTACATTGAATCCCGTACCAAGTTGAGGGCTCACTTTTGAAGCAAGGAGGGCCCGTCCAGTTAGTGTTTAGGTACGGATAGTTGAAACTGTTCTTGAGGGCAACTAGAGCATCCTTCTCCTTTCCAATATATCCAGCTACTTGGGCTGTAGAGCATCTCATGTGCAGCATACACAGAAGAAGAATGGCAAGAAGGTAATATTTCATCATCATGAATATTACTACTGATGATTGAGAAGCCATCATTTATGGCATAAAGACTCAAAGCAGCTAGGAACTTGAAAACCTCGACGAGAAGTAGCTAAGAAATTGAAAAGAAAAGGATAATATTCTCATAAAATTCTATCGCATGCGCAAGTACAGCTAATCCCTTGCAGTTTCTATGTTGAGGATACAAAAACAAAGGATAGCTGGTATTCGTTTATCTTGTTGCACTTTCTTGCTGAGAAACCTAGGAGGGCTGTTTTACATTGTTGTCTTTCAGATTTTCCAGCTAGAATTAATCAAATTGAAAATGACCCGTACGTCCGTACATAATATACATACGAATATATTCTTGTGGCCTACTGTTTGCATATAATGATGCCTTGTTGGCTGACAATTGAATTATAATTATATTTCAAGGATTCTAGACAGCTTATGTATAGCTGACAATGTACCATTATAAAAGAAGGGTGGTGATTTTCCCACTCCCGTTTTATCTACCTAAAGTCTTTTTTAAATACTTTTTACTATAAGGGAGTGTAAGTAAACAAAAGAGGAGTGAGAACATACAATTTCAAAAAATTGGAGTGTAAGTGGATAAAAAGGGAGTGCGAAAATCAGGAACTTAAAGGAAAATCACTTTTGTTTAGTACACGTATATATGGAGGAGCGTATCCACATAGATGGGTCAATTCACCCCTACAAGACCGGAATCCACAATTGAAGGCAAAGATGTTGACCCCTGTAGATTTCCCACAAACTGTACAAATCACCTTATTTCCATTTTCAACATTTAATTAAATATTTTTGTCCTTTCACTTTCATTTATTTTTATATTACTCTATTTACTTAAGTTTACAATGTAAATAAAGAAGTACTCCCCATTTGGATTCAAATAAAAATACTAAAAAATCAAATACCCACCAAATCAAAATATGAAAAATAGGTTTTAGTGAAAAATACGATTTATGCTAAAAATGATGACTCATTAAGTCAATATATACTTCGCACTAAAATCCCATAAAATCAAGTTTTCTTATTTTATGTGTAAGGAATAAAAGCCGCCAAAAATTATCTTAAGAAAATGATTATTTTGAAAAACCATTTTTCATACTTAGCCAACATTTTTACATAAAATAATTTTTCATGTATGAAATGAATGCATGAAGGGACCTAAGGTCAATCTAGGTAAAAAGCCTTAGATGTTCAATCCACAAAGAGTTTTCGCAAGAATAACCTAACTCTTTCGTATTGAAGAAATATTTGTTTGAATAAGCTCCCCCTAAGACAGTACTCATAAGGGTCTAAAGTTTGAGAGCTAGAGCCCAAAAGAAATGCAGATAAAGCCCAAAATCAAAACCACAACGAACCTCAAAAGTGACTTAAATACCCTAAAATAAGCAGGATTACGTTAATATATGCCAACTCTTACGTCGAATAGGACGAGACGCTTGGGAGACGAAGATGATTGCTCTAATTTTTTGGAGTTGATGCAGTCATCTTTGATAATGAACATGCGTATTTTGTATGGTTTTATCTATCAACTATGAATTAGAATATTATCGTTTCATTTTGATGGGTCTATTGTGTATATAAATTTTTTTAACCTATTACATGTTGACCTCCGAAATGAGAATTCCTGAATCCGCCATGGAGCAATGTGGATCTATTTCATATACTAGAACAATTATTTTATGAGGTCTACCCAATGCTAGATGCAAAGGCATATAATATAACAACATGAACATCATGAGATGTCCTGTAATAAAAACCGTTGATTTTCTTCACAGGCAAGGTCTCTGGTTCAAATTCAGGATGGTCCAGCTACACCAAAGAAAAGAATAGAATGCATATTGATCATTTTGAACTAAAATCAAACTTTTTTGTGGAATAATTGAATAAAAATCTATATAACATTGAGAATGGTATATATATAACTGACAATATATAAATAAGAAAAATACTCGCCTCCTTAAATGCAAGGAGTCATTCCACTTTACACACAAATGACAATCTTATATGTGTACATAATTTTTTTTTGTACGTAATTTTAATGAGTTTTTTTTTTTTTTTTTTTTTTTTTTTTTTGTGAATTTTAAAAGGTTTTTTTTTTTTTTTTTTTTTTTTTATTTTTGCATGTGTCAAACTATGATTGATGTTATTAAAAATTATAGTTTTCCTCTTTTCGTAAAATCCAAAAGCAAAATAATTTATAGTTTAAATAAGGCTAATATTACTCGGCTAGTGAAAAAACAAGGGTAACTCTCTCGCAACGTAAGGAGAGTTGTGCGTTAAATATTAGGGTTTAGGTTTTTCACGTTTAGCTGCCATTCCCTCCTCGGCCAAAGCACGCTCGTTTTCATCCATGTTGAGCCGCTGTTATCCCCTTCCTCGACTTGACAGCGTCGAGTCAATTTTCTTCCAAGTCGAGTCCCTGCCTTCACTCCTCTCTTCGACTCTTGGGTGCTAGTCTCCTTGTTGTCTCTCTCAGATCCTCAGCATTGATTTTGTTGTTCTCTTTCTCCTCGATGAGTCAACGTCTCTGGTGGTTGCCTTGGTATAGTGGTTTTAGCAGGTCAGCTCCTACTATTGTGCCGACAATCCCCATGTCAACAACGAACATGGTGCAAGCTGCTTCATTGGGGTCAGCGGTCAAAGTGGAGTTGGCTTTCCTCACGCCCCCTCCATTGTTCGATCTACAATCTCAAGCCTTACCTTCAGGAGAAGACAAGCCGTTGTCCAGAGATTTGGTGTGGGTGGCTCTTCACTTAGGGTCTATAGCTTTGATCCTCTTTTTCACGGTGTTGGGCCAGGTTTTTGGCAACTAGGGTTGTTGGGTACCATCCTTTTACCCTTCCTTAAAGGTTTGGTTGGTTACTCTGTGATTGGAATTGTGAATCCGAGTGATGTTGTTTTCCTTCTTGATAAACGTATGGAGACTGACCAAGTGGAGTCTCCTGGACGTCTTCCTTAATGTGTTCTTGCAGCATTCGTGGGCTTGGCATCTGGAGAATGCTCTTATGTCTGATCCCCTTGTTCAGGTTAAGTGGCTAGGCCAGTTTTGTTATTGTTGCGTGGTGTTTTCTTTGTTCTCCCCTTAACTGATCTTTGATTCTCTGCCTGTCTCAAGGACTATGTTTTTATAAAAGGCTTCTTTGTCAGTGTTGAGATGATATGACGTGCTCTTTTTTTATTTATTTTCTTTCCTGGTCAGTTTGTGATTAGTCTCTTCTTTGTGTTGCTCATTGCAGATTTCTCTTCTTTCATCGCCAATTGCTATTAGAGGTGGCTAGAGATGGTATGCTTAATGACTGTTTTCTTTCTTCTTCGTGGCATATTGTGTTCTTTACCGGATGTTCTCACTGTCTTGTGGTTGTGCAAAGGACTATGATTTCATAGAAGGACTTTTTTGACAGTTGGATTGTGTTGTAGTGTTCTCGTCGGGGGTCTTTGCATTGAAGGTCTATGTGTCAGTTTGCTGTTTTATTTTTACTCTAGCATTGGTCCTGTGTGATTGTTTTAGACTCTCTTGTTAGTCTAAGACATGTGTGGTATGTTTCCTACCTTGAGGTTTGTCCCTCATGAAGGTTTTAACGATGCCGTTATTTTGTGTCGTTCTATGCACGTTACTTTGATTATATGAATGAATTCCATTTCTCAAAAAATGCTTAGGTGCTATAGTGCACCCCAAAACATTAGTCAGATCCCACTTTACCCCCTCGAAGTTAAAGTGACCCATTTTACCCCCTTGACCAAGATTTGATGTTCTACATTGCCCCCTATCGTCAACTTCATACAAAAGTCCATTAAGTTTAATGATGTGGTATGGATGTTTTTGTAATTTTGTGCACCTAGGTCATTTACTCACCATTTTTTATTTATTTTGTGTTTAGGTGTAATAAAATATTCATAGATATTTAAATCAATTAAAAATAATAAATTTAACTAAATAGATTATAAAAAATAAAAAATAAAAAACCATCATCCCAGCCTCTTCCCAGAATTCTTTTCTCCCATTCCCCTATGACCACTACCCCCACCGGTAGACCTGAGCCCAATTTCTTCTCTATATCTCTTTCCTTCCTTTGCACTCTTCCTTTCCCCTATGTACTTTCTTCTCCCCAATAACCTAGACTACCCCCACCTCCAGCCGTAACCCAAGCCCCACTCCCACCCCCAGCCCTTAAACCCAGCAGCCCCAACCCTCCTCACAGTCGTCGACAACCCAAATGAGCCTTGGCCTCTCTTTCTGTCGAACCTCCAACTGCTACAACCTACCATCTCATCTCACTGAATTCCATTAAATTTGGTTGTAGACCTTCGAGTACAAAAACAATGAATTTTTTTTTCTTTCAATTTTTTGGTTTTTGAATTTGCAGAGATAGGGGTGGGTTGGGTTGCAGATAGGGGTGGGAATGAGGCGTGGGTTGCCACTGATGCTGCAGGTAGTCTAGTTTGTTGGGGAGAAGAAAATATAGAGGTAGAGGGAGATCATAGAGAAAGGAAAGGGAGAGAGAGAGGGAGAAGAAATCAAGCTGGGGTCTACCAGTGGCGGTGATGGTCATGGGAAAGGTAGCTTGGGGATGATGGGTTTTTTATTTTTTGTTTTTTTAAATTTCTTATTTTTAAATATTCATATACACCTAATTTATTAAGAGAAGGAATATTAGTGGGGGATGGGGGTTAAGGGAGGAGCAGGGGTGGTGCCGGTGGGAGCTGTGATAAAGGTGGAACTAATTTATTAAATACTTTTTATATCTTTTAATTATTTGAAAAGATTAAGAATATTTTATGTTTTTATGTGGAGGTGGGCTCCATTTTGCCACATTACCTATGCAAATTGGTGAGTAAATGACCTAAGTGAACAAAATTACTAAAACACCCTTACCACGTCATCAAACTTAAAAAACTTTTGGATGGAGTTAATGATAAGGGCCAATTCGGAACATCAAACCTTGGTCAAAGGGACAAAGTGAGTCAATTTTACTTCAAAGGGGTAAAGTGAAATTTGACCAATGTTTCAGTGTGCACTATAGCAC